GGGGGGTTGTGTATGGAAGTCGCGTACGTCGCCCCACAGCGGCGCCAATGCGCGTCACGCCTGAGCCAAAGGTCGCGATTGCCCTCCCCCGCCCCGCTGAACCCACCTCCCGCTGATCCGCTCCCGCGGTGTTTCCGCTTTCCTCGTTCCCACCGGCAACAGCGTTTCGTGTTCTTCCCCTCTCCCCGCTCTCGGGCGCCCCTCCGATTCTTTCCGCTCTCTCGTCTTTCTCCGCTCTCTCGTCTTTCTCCGCTCTCTCGTCTTTTTCCGCTCTCTCGTCTTTTTCCGCTCTCTCGTCTTTTTCCGTTATCTCGCCTTTTTTCGCTCTCTCGTCTTTCTCCGCTCTCTCGTCTTTTTCGCTCTCTCGTCTTTTTCTGTTCTCTCGTCTTTTTCGCTCTCTCGTCTTTTTCCGCTCTCTCGTCTTTTTCTGCTCTCTCATCTTTTTCCGCTCTCTCGTCTTTTTCTGCTCTCTCATCTTTTTCCGCTCCCTCTTCTTTTTCCGCTCTCTCGTCTTTTTCCACTCTCTCGTCTTTTTCCGTTTTCTCGTCTTTTTCCGTTCTCTCGGCTCTTACCGCTCGCTTCGCCTTTTCCGCTCTCTTGGCTCTTTGAACTCTGGGCTCTTTCGTCTGCTTTCACCCCAGTTTCCTTGGGAGTACATTAATCAACATGTTTTTACCGAGAGCAATGAAGTGTGACGAAAAAGTAATAAAATATTACAATCTTCACTACTACACTTTTTGTCATGATACTGATGAGGCCTTCATATTCCGAATTTCATAATCGCTTCATTGAAAGAAAATATATGCAAGTGAGATGCGAATCGTATGTCCAGTTTACTTTTTTGTCAACCCCTCACCGGTCGCCAACCCAAACGGGGCGCTAGTTGTGGACTACGTTACTGTTTCATTCGTGAATTCAAGACTTCGAAGAAATGGGAAAGATTCATTTCTGACCCATTTTATGGGCAGAAAATTATTTATAAATGAAATCCTTAAAATAAAAACTATCCAAAGAAATATATTTCACGCTCAATAACAGCCTCCATACAAAAAACATTAATAAACAAAAGTAACATATAGTATGTAGTAATAAGATTGAACGTTTTGAAGACAATATGATGAAACATCAGTTACTGATGTAGGAAAAGTCCTCCTGAAGCCTTCAAAATAAAGTTATTGTATATTTTCTGCGGTATGTAAAACAAGTCAACAAAATGATTGCAAAGGCAACTTCGGCGCCTCAGCCATAGCAATGATCCCAAGAGTACTTATGTCCCGTCCTGAGAGGAAACGGCGCCAGTAGTGCTATTCCTGGAATGCTCGTGACGTGAAACAAACCGCGAAGCTCACTGTTCCCCAACACAACCAGCAGAAAGCTATCAGTGTGGTTTGAACGGGCGCAAAGACATCTTGTTGTGCACGACCTTTGAAGCCGCAATCTCGCTCCTGCAGTTAGCATTGGCTTCGTAAGTAATTAGTAATTTGTATTTAAATTAATAATTGACACTATTTATACGAATGTCTGGAAGACACACAAGTTTATTTGTTAGTTATTTTCCGGAATAGTTTTCTTATGGAAGAAGATAATCCGTCATGCCTCTAAAATGGTTGTAGAATTCAAGCCAACAGCGAGTCTGTAGGATACATTTAATCGTGCAGGCTGTGAGCGATTTGAAAAAAATGGCATATGTTAATAGCATAAGGTTAATCAACAGTAATAAAAATGTATTACGTCAGGGCTGTAGGGTTTGCTGTCTGCTTCTGGGCTGGTTTAAATTGTTTTTCGTTGTGAAAATCAAGAAATTATCTGTTATACTAAAAACGTGTACAGTGGAAACCATATAAAGATCTATATGAAAAATTAACTTTGAATTAGGGAGAAGGTCCTTGGGCTTGCATCTTACCGATAAAAAATGATCATGTGGATTTCAAAAATGTAATGTCGAATTTTGAGCAACTTTGAAGAACTTTTCCTATAGTTTAAAATGAGGAAACATTTCAATTAAGAAATTATAATATTTTCCTTGTGTTGATGAATTACTATCAAATAGAAATATTCCTTTAGTTTATAGTCTTTGATTTAAAATTTTAAAATTGTAACACATTGCCTTCTGTCAGTCGCCTATTCATTTATTGATATCAACTATCCGTAGATAATAGAAGTGATTTGCTTAGTTGTATAATTTAATAATTGAGAGGACCGCGATAAGTCGGTCAAAACGTCGCCACCTCAGCCATCGACGTGTTGTCACCCGGACAGCCCAGATCAACCTTCCATGATTTATTCTCTCGGGAGATATTTCTTTTCAAAGAATACGTGAAATATATCAATTGCAAAATAGAACACAGTAATTTTAAAACCGAAGGACGTGCAGTTTATTTTTACTCTCAGTTGGAACGCATTGGCCCAGAAGCGAATTAATAGGCAGAGAGGCAGCCAGGCGAAAGGGGAGAGAGCTCGTCCAAAAATAATGTAACGCTTAAGAGGGGGAGGAGATATTATGCAGCAATATATTACGTTACATAAGGGTAGAAGGATCATAGTTAAGTGTTACGAACTGCTGATATTTATTTTTAAATTTTTTAAGGAATACGACATATTTTGTTTATTCATTAGAATTTTAATAAAAAAATTGACAATATTATAAAAAGAAGATCTTCGCAACTATACATACTTGATCAGCATTTTACAACATTGACAATTTTTTGTTAAAATTCTTAACTTTCAAAATTTTCGATGTTTTAGGTTTTAAGTAAAGTAACCTCAAAAATTATAATATCCGTTTAAAACTCTCGAAGTCTCAAGTCTTTTAGATCGTATGGGAATATCAATTTTGGAGAAAATTGGCAGAACGGTTTTGGCCTCGGCGTTGACTACAGACGGGACAGACACACGTTTCGTCAATCGATTTATCGGTATCAAATACCCCCAAAACATTGATTCTGGCTACACCACGCGTCATAGGAAGTAATTTACTATATACATATACATACATATATATCCACTTTTTTGTTACCGTAACCCTCCAATAAAGGTTTTTCCGCCGAAAATTAGCTTTTCCCGGCGCACGGTTATATAACTTTCTCTTCTTACGAAGTAAGTGCGAGAAAATGAAAGTAGAAACTTAAGAGGCTACAAAATTAGTTTTACCAGCTTTCCCCCTAGTTTCCAATCTTATAAAGGCCTTCCGTTTAATCCAACACAATCATGATAACATTTTGAAAACTTCCCCCGGAATTTGAATAATATAGTTTGTCTCCTTGTATCGGGAGGATTCGTGCCTTGGAGATATTTTAAATATCTGTTAAGTTTCTAATCCAGAACTTATTTTTATTAATACTATGGTCATTCTAAATTTGAGTAAACCTCAAGTAGCCTTAGGATATACATTTCTGAACGTTAACGTTTTGACATCTTACAAGTTTGAATAAAAAATAGTTAAGTTAATAGTTAAAATTCCTTATATGTTCATCAAGCAATATAAATTCTTCGTTGGAGAAAAATTGAGAGAGAGATAGCCATAATTCACCTGTAGTAGCTCGTAGAAGGCAATATATAATGATCTTCCCGGTATACTTTGACTACGCCTATGCTAATTCTGCTTTATATTTCATTTTCTTATTGCGCAGTTTCAAGAATTTCGCGTTAGGGATCGTATTTTGGCGAGATAAAAGTTGTTTAACGCAAATCCTTAATTAAAATGGTAAAGAAATAAGGTCAGAAAGCTTCATAACGAGTTGACCAGAGCTTGAACTCGTTACAGACACACAGATATATATTATTTTTTCGTGAACCTGTCTTGTAATAAACGTAAGTGTATCAAGGACTGAATTCAATGTACGGTATACAACCAACAAATAACTGCATAGTGAACAGGACATTGAACCATTAATAATTATATGTCGTCCAAATTCTTTTGTAACCTCCTAACTGCCCTAAGCACCAGCCACATTAAGTTCGGTAAAACGAGCGTTGCTCTTAAAAGAATTAAATCCCAAAAGATCTATCCCGACCCCTTAGTCCAAAGAAATAATTTTCTCTCCACTCACTTTATCTCTTGCTTCCTTAAATTTCATAAAATTAACAACAATCTTTATAGAGGTACCCAGAAGGATGTCTTTGCCCAGAAATACGAGTATGATGGTACGCTAATTTGCCGTTACTCGTACCTTCCTCTGGTGTATCCATTATATGACAAATAAAAGCTAACACTCACCTGTAAATGGGCAAACCCACAGACATGGTTAAATAAAATTTTCAAAAATCTCTTTTCCAGCAAGGATGGCGTGGACGCCAGTGCATTTCCTGCTAGCCACAACGTGTGCTGCGATCTGGGCAGGACTATCGCCTTGCGAAGCCTTCGATCGTCAGAGATCGTCTCTCCCATTCTCTGTCAATGCTGTCATGATGGGTATGCAGTTCCACCAGGCAAAACTTAACGACCTCGACGCGCGCTTCAAAGCTTTGGAAGCCCAGCTGCAGGCGCTGCAGGACGTGGTATCTGCGCCTCCACCCCCGCCCCCGCCCCCGCCCCGCTCTTCACCAGCCCTGCCGGGCCGCCGGACACGGCCCAAGGGAGTCGTTCCGGAACCTGGTGCCTCGGAGGACAGGGTAGGCATGCCACACCCACGCCCTTGTTTCCGACACATCGATGTTCTATTTTTAGTGATTCCGGCTACGTCAACTACTAACGTCATTAGCTCTGTAAGTGTAGTGCATGTTTTATCGCGGAAGTTGGCAGTGATATTCCCCCTGAGTAGGTGGGATCCGGCGCCAACTTACGTCGGCTCGCGACCGGTCTGCCTGCATGTGTGGTAGCGTAGTGCTTGTAAGTGTAAGTGGGTGTAAGTAAGGAGGGGGGTAGGACAAGGAAGAGGAAGGAAAGATGTCCGGGACCTCTTTGTTAGCAAATTGCTCCGGCGGATGTTGAAAGGGAAAAAAAATCAGAAATTACCACTTAAAGCAGTCGGCCGCTAGAATTCGCCTCATGACAGCGACTGATCTGGATCTAGCTATGTAGCCAGTGTCTAAAATCCGGCCATCGTCGGGACTTGAACCGAGTAACTCCCGGTCAGACGTACTGCAGTATCATCAATTGATGCCCTGAGCCACCTCTCCCGCTTCAACGATGTATTTAACATTTAGATTTTGAAGCCGATGTTTTGGTAACATCGATGTTATGTGCTCGATGTTTTTACGTGTCCGATATTTTTTAAATGAAAAAGTCCATCATACAAAATCCGTAATAATTTTCAGATATCCATAAATTGAATATTCTTCAGACCAAAATAACCAAAGTGGGAAATAAAGAAAATATTTTTCGTCAATAAAAAGTCTCAATAATGTTTGAATTAAAATTAAATAATACAAGTTTTGTTAATTTTAGATTTTTTCTTTAAATTGTTAAGTTTCTGTTCCTGTGTGACGAAGAAACGCTCAGGCAGGCAGAGTTTGCTAGTTACGGTAAAGGGACTATGTCATCTTCCCCACATGTCTCTCTTAGCATCCAAGCGTGGGAATTACACTATAGGGTCAAGAATAGGGAAACTTTGCTAGTTAGCCAGCAAAGACGGACAATTGATGCAAAATTCCAATGACACACATTTTTTTAAATTTTATTTCTTCAGTAAAATCTCGATGAAAATTAATAAACGATCCCACTTTAAAATTAAATACCCACTCCCTCGCCACCGCGTGAATTTAAGTGGCTACTAATCTAGCTTTAAAATCGTCGACGTCTTATGAAAACGATGTTTTATTAACACCCATGTTTTAAAGGATTAACATGGATTTTTAAAAACATCATGTAGGACACAGTTAGCTAGCCAGGTAAGTCTGTCAATGACCCTAAATGCTTAATACTTTCACACATTTTTTAGTTTCTGTTGTCAGTTAAATCTCAGTAAAAATATAATGAACGTGATCACTTACAAGTAAAATCCGCACTCCGACACCACCGCGTGAACCTCTGTGGTTACTAATCCAGTTTTAAAAACGTCGATTTTCGGTGGATGTTTGAATTTTAAACATCGATGTGTTGAAATATTCCTGTTTCCATTTAGAACATCGATGTTTCGAAACACTTGACGACGTCTCTTCATTAAAACTTGTTGGAAAAAACATTCATCAAACTCAGATGTGGGAACCCTTAGGAAAACGTCGAAAGATCGCTAGACTAGTAAACCTTCTCAAAGCGTACACTGGATGTAAAGCATTAAATGCCAGTCGAAATAGGATAGGGCACCTTTCAATATCGAAAGTATCATGATACAAGATCAAATATGGAATCAAAATAAACACGACGGGTAAATACTCTTTTGCCTAACCGACAATAACTGACTGCGAACCAATTTACCTGCTGGCAAAATACTGCGACTTTTCCTCCAGTGTGCGATTGCTTCTGGAACGACTACAGAATTGCGTGTTGATGCTCAAATAACGTGTATTAGGTGTTCTTCGAATCTCCTTAGTTGTTACGTTGTTAGGTGTTCTATCTTAGTTGTACTTTGTCTTATTATATTTTGTGACGTACCTGGGAAACGGTACTTTCCACGACAAATAAAATCAATATAAAGGACGGGATACATTTTTGTGATGGTCTCCAGGGGAAATTGACCGTGCATTGAAGAATTATTCAAAGAAATTCATTAATGGCAATGGAGTTTTTTAATAATTAACACACTATATACATTAGAGTTTTACAATTCGCAGATCGCAAGCCTTTTAAATAGTTCGTCACTGATTGTAACGCTAACCTTTAAGCTTCCGATGTTCCACCGGCTGCACTTGCGGGGAAGCGTTGCCCGCACGTGGCCAACGGCGGCGGCGCGCTCGTGCAAACTCCGCTTCCACCCGAAGTTGTCCGGAAGCCGATTTCGGCGGTTGGTCCGTGTACTGGCCCCAACAGCGCAGCGGCTGTCCGCGTCCTGGCAGCCCGAAATTACAGCCGTTCTCCAATCTCCCACACGATGTTCGCGACGGTGCGGCCCCGCTCCTGCATTCAACCAAGCCGGACATGGAATGCGTGGTGGTTCCTATCGATCACTTAACTTCCAACTGTTAACGTTTTTCACGAAATTGATCCTGGTTCGCGACTACTGCTTCTCTCTGATGCATCTGATTAACTTTAGTGTTTGGCACCCTCTAATCTCCCAACCTAATAGCTAAATCAGTTACCACCATTCTGTGTAATTCGACTCACACATTTTTTTTGGGGCATCACAGCCGCTCCGCACTCACCCGCGCTTCTCCTCGTCTATACTTCTTCACCCGCGCGCAGCGCCCGCGCCTCTCGCGCAATCAGTTACCACCCGCGACGTCCGCTTGCTCTCGGTTCGCTAGGCTGACTTATCGCGTCACCTCGCGTCGCGCCACCTGCCCCCCGGTTTGACCGTCCTGGTGCAGCGTGGCAGCGGGTCACTGCGCTGATACGAATCAGCGTTTCTCTTCTTATAATTAATCAGTCAGTTGTGTAATTATATGTAGAAAACGTTTCTTCGTTTCAATTATTAGCCCCTATATATATAGTATTAATATATATATTAATATATATGATATTATATAATAGTATATCATATTTAAGATTAAATATCATTGTATATGTGCTGTAAAACTCTGCCAGCCGAGCGAACTCAATTAAGCGGAAAAATAATAATAAAATATTGAGTTTTATTATTATTATTATTATTATGTTTATGTTAATTAGGGCATGGCGGCGACGACGCCAAGCGAGCCCTCCTCTGTCCTCGCGCGGCGGCTGCGCGCACGAACGACTTGGCGGCTGCTGGCGGAGCTGCGCCGCGGCGCGCGCCCCTTGGGCGAGCGACGCTGCGCGCGACAACGCGCTGCACGGTGCGGCGCGAGGGCCGCCAGGGCGACGCGCTCGCTGCTGTCGCAGCGGCGCCACGTCCGCGGCCGCGGGGCTAGCTGCTGCGCATGCCGCTGCCACGCGGCGCCACCCGAGGGCAGTTAGGGCGAGGCGCGTGAGGCAGCGTCGAGGTCCCGGCCGTCAGCCGCAGAGAACCACATAGAACGAATTTCCAAACAGTTGCCAGAACCTGAAGTCACTTCACTAGCGGATTTCATGAAGCTCTCATATTTTACTATTTCGCTACCCGCCCCACGCTCGTAAGAGAAAGTTTGGTATATAATTGCCGGCGCGAAAAAAAAAACCGCGAATTCCTCAGCACAAAAAAATCTATACAGGGGTCTCTGGAAAGGTAAGAAATAAGATAAAATCCTGTGGGCAATAATTGGGGGAAAGTCCTCAAACACAGCATGGTTAATGTCAGAATGTCATGTTTGTGAAGCTCATTAATACCGAAGAATCGAATATATCGGATAAAGCCATCGTCAAAACGCTAGAGAACTCTAAACTGTTCCATCCGATTTTTTCCTCCAAAAAGAATATCCCCTCATCGAATCTGGCTAGACACTCTCCTTGGACTTTGAACCGTGGAATATTTTTAAATTTACAGGTAGAACTTTACATATAAGCCCCTGAACACACTTTCAAATTTCCAAAAAGAAATATGGAACCCTTGTTTTTGGTATAATGTGTTGTTGATAGTGATTTACAAGAACTTAAAGAGAATTTTGCAGGTCTCATTTTCGTTGAGAAATTGCATTTTTTCAATTAATGGGAAAATTCAATGTTTTTCGGCATCTTCCCACACGCGTCAAATTGTGAAGATAGAGTTTGTCTTTTAATAGTAATTTTTTCCTTAAAGTACAGATTTGAAACAAGCGTCATGTACAACTGGTTTTGAATTTTTCTTTATTGTGAAAAGTCACTAGCTACTTGCATCTGTAGTTTCTTACTTACTCATTTTTACTTTCAACAATTTCTTTAGATATATCCTTTCGTTTTATGGTCATGACAAAATGAATCATTTATTAGGACATTTTTCTTCAGGTAGAACCAACTTTCAGATTACTAGGCAGATATTTCCTTGTCCAACCAAAATTTGCAAGCTGGAATTCACTTTAACGAAAATAATTTAGCACCGATTACCTCAGCTAACATAATGAAACAGTTTTGAGTTGTTCTTTAAACTGTTTCAATCAAATTTTAAGTAATTATTCTTGTTTTTTAGGGCATTGTATAAATCATTTCAAGACCATCTTATTAACCATTTTGGAGATTTTTTCAAAGTTCATCAAAATCCTCCATGTAATTATCGCACTCCTACAAGACATGTGAAACATATTATGAAGCATTTTGTTCAAAAATATGTCGTCGCATTAAAATGGGAGAGTCCTCTTCAAAGTCATGGAGCTGGATGGAAGATTGCTATTGATTGCTTCATTGAGATTAAAATTTTTGGTAATTGAATCGCTCCGCATTGGATGAGTATTGTCTGCCCTGCTCTTTCAGCCTCGTGACTTGAAAGCACTTTTTGTTTTGAGCTCCGATTGTAAACCCAGTGCCTTCAAGGCATGTGGCGGAAGGAGAGGGGGTGTACTGTCCAAGTACCAAGAATTAAGGAGAATCCGATTGGATGACAGTAGTGTACCTCGTGACCTTCGAGTGCCGCGGTAAAATGGGCGTTGGTCGGGCAGGTTGGAGACGGCGCGGCTGCTGGCGAGGCGGGCGCGGAAGGCGGCGCGCGCGACGCCCACTGGCGCCACGGCGCCTACCGCTGGCGGGCGCGCGGCACGCGGCCGCCCTGGCCAGGGGCTGCTTGCATGCGCGCGCCGGCGGCCGAATGTGGGGGACGCCGCGCGGAGCCGGCCGCTCCTGCGCGGCCGCGGGGCGGCGCGGTGGGCGCCGCGGCGCTGGCGCGCCGAGGGGCGCGGCCCCGCCGAGACGCGCGAGAAGGACGGCGTCCTCGGCGCTCAGCATGCGGGCGCGGGCGTCCCGGGGCGGCGCGCTGTGCGACGCGGGCGCGGTGGCGAGCGCGCTGGCGGAGGCGCACGGCGCGCCGCAGGTCTGGGCCATCGCGCAGGCGGCTCCCGAGGAGGTCTTTTAAATTTATTTTTATTTTTTAGTACATATATATTGAAAATTGGACACTGTCCAGGTGTATCAACTCATAAGAGAACGAATTGAGTAATGTAGTTGGCTGAGATATAGGCAAGTTTGTTTTGTGAGATGCTGGCTAGAGTTCGTAAGCAATGGACGCCTGACGATTAAGTCGTGATATTTAAAATGAAATACTTATTTATATACCCAGTTAGTAGCGTCTTCAAGTGTTTAGAAGATTGGTGAAACCTCAGAGAAAGTATTTGATGTAATTGATCGGTGGTTTAAGTATATGGGACGAAGTATTTGCGGAGCGGAGCAGGTAAAAATTTGCCGATTGATTAGCAATCCAAAACTAACGAACAACATAATATTTTCATTTTGTTGGGACTTAAAGTGCTCTTATTTAAAATTATATCAAGAATGAAGAGAAGGGGCAGAAACATCCGGTAAGAGGAAAGAAGTGGCAGCTGAACTATTTTAGAAATACCCACGATGGCGAACACAATAATTATATTTATTATACATTTGAAATTAACCTAATTGGGACCCTGTACATTCTTTGTGTCAATTTTATGTTGTATTTTTTATTGGCAATGGTGGTGTGGGTTACAGTAAAAGAGAAATATTATTATTTAATGTCATCATAAGGGTATGATTTGTTAATTCTCGGAAAGGGTGACGATTTTTTTCTAGCGAAATCGCTGTTACATTTACGGCTGAAGGGAAATGTAACAAGTTGCTGTTTAATTGTTTTATGAATGGTATCGGGAATGCAATGACAATGCCGCGATGAAGTTATTTCTGGCAAACCAAGAGGTTCGAGTGATTAGAAGAAATTTATATTGAAATGTTTGAAGACAATCGAGATTAGTATGGGATGCCGTCATCCATATTGTGGAGGTGTAAGTTAAACTGGGAAGAAGAGATTTTGATTCTATTTCTAGACGCAGGGCGTTCATTTTGCACCGTTATCATCCCTGTTGTCTCCTCCGCTATCGTCATCATTATCATTGTTATCTTCGATATCATTTTTGACATTATCATTATCGTTATTATTGTTATCAATGTTGCCATATATATATATATATATATATATATATATATATATATATATATTAGGGATACTTTGCACGGCATAGCGTACGGCAATCGACGTAACAGCAATTGGCACAGCGAACAGAAATTCACAGTTCTAATGATGTGCGCAAGCGCTGTTCCAGCTTCGCAACGCCTCTGTGCATCTGCGCATGCGAAGAAGATTGTGCGTGCACTATATAGCTATGCGCTAGTCCGTGCAAAATCTCCCTATTACTTCTGCAGTACACATCCTTTTTAAAGCTGACGAACTCGATCAATCTTCAAATGATCCGTTGAAAGAAAGAGAATTGTATGGAGATTTCTCGAAGCGAGCTTTAACTTTTGAAATGTGTAGAATTTGTTTGAAAAAAAAACATTCCAGTATCTTTGAAAATTGCCAAAAAATTAAAATTGAAAAATGATAGGAATTGTTTTTTAATAAAATTATATATTTAAGTAAAATTATATACGGTTTGATAAAACTAGTAGATTTTGCGTAATTTGTCCTTCAAGTTAACACAAGTTATAAAAGAATTCTCGAAAACGGTTTAACATTTTTGTTTGATTTTCTAACTGATAGAGCATTGAAGTCTAAAAAAGATAGCACTGGTCTTACTGTCGTTAATCTCTATGAATTTTGGAAAATTGCAATAGATTGAAATAAAACGAGAAAGTGTATTGTGCTGCAGTTCCTTTAGTTGTCTCGACAAATCGATTGAGCTTCACTTTAAAAAAGTGCGTCCTAAAGAGTTCAATTCTGGCTGCCGAGGTGAACGAGCACGTATTACAACCTTCATGCCGAAATATAAAAAATGAAACCTTAGTGACCAGTATTATACATTCCCGTGTTTGACTCTTTTGTGTAGTTCCAAATCCATTCCGCCACAGACGTGCAGATTTATGTGCGAAATTAAACTGACTATTTGATACTTGGGTTTCCACATACGAGAGTCCTCGCACGGATAGTTAGTTTCTAATTATTTCCAGTATTATCGCCGTCTAATTTTCGGCGTAGCCGCGTAGCCGGCGTATTCCACCCACTGCAATCTCACCATCACGAGCAGCCCAACCCTCGTTTATTCACTTGAACCAATCGGCCAGCAGGTCTATCCAGGATTGTGGCTCGTGGGACTAGTCTTCCGGTTTACGAATGATGCTAGTTGATTGTTACATATAACAATCATGTAATATACCTTATATATTGAGATGAGCTTGAATATATATGCCTCACGCCATTAAAAGAAGTAGAAGGCAAGTTCACGTCAACTTGCACGTGCAAATTGAATGTGGCGCGTCTGCGACGTATTCGCACCAAGCGAAAAGTAAACAGACCAATGGTGAAATTCTTGGGAAAAGATAAGGGGCTTGAGACCGCCATGGCCATCGAATCAAATGCGAGAAAACTAGCAAGCGAAGTTGCGTTTGCGTTTAGAAATCCAGCAGTCTTTTAAAAATTATTGTAGTGGGCAGTCGAAGATTAGTATTCTCCTGAGATTCGTTGAAGTGATTTGACGAGCAGTTCGGAGTGTTTTAGTTAGTGTAAGCCGTCGCATTACAAAATGTTCAATCAGCAATTATGCTAGTCCAACGACCGCTTCCTGCTGCCATTTAACGACCAGGTCCCTTTTGGTCATTCTCTAATTTTATTTGTAATAATAATATTAATAGTCACCTTTGCGTATATTGCGCTGTTATAAAAGATTATACTTTTGTACAATTTATTAGGAACTACTCGTTAGTGTACCACTGCTGGGTAGAGAAATACCTCCAGCCTTGCATCAAAGAAAAAGAAAGGGATAATTAAAGTTCGCAGATTGTGTCATAAGTGGGAAATCAGGCGCTCAAAAAATGTATGAAAATATAGGGAGTCAGATGTTTCTAC